TCTGTTCAGTACGATGACATGTTTTATTGATAGCTCTTGCTCCTTTTCAAGCAGCCAATACGGTTTCGTGGCTGGCAGAGGCACCCAGCCTCTGCTTGAAAATTTCGTAGACATAATTCACAGTGCATTCGAGAAAAACCTATTCGCGTGCGCCCTTTTTTTAGACGTGTCCAAAGCTTTTGACACTGTAAGCCACAAGTTGCTCCTCCGCAAATTGTATAACTTCGGCTTCCGCGGTCCCCTTTTCGCTCCACTTCAAAATTTTTTTCTTGGCCGTTCTCAAATCGTGTCTGTCGGAGGTTATAAAAGTGCACGAGCACTCATAAGAGCTGGCGTCCCACAGGGTTCCGTGTTGTCCCCTTTACTTTTTAATCTTTACGTAAATGACCTTTCAACGACAGTGTCTAATTGTAGCCTCTTTCAATATGCCGACGACACTGTACTCGTTTCCCGTCATCTTAAATACGAACAAGCCGTTGATTTATTGAGCCATGATGCAACAAAAATCATGGACTGGTTTAACGAAAACCTAATTACAATTAACGCTTCGAAAACTAAGCTTGTCTGTTTCAGAAATCCACTGAAGGCTGTAGTCGTTAACTCGCCGGTTTTATTACACAAATCAACTTGTCCAAACTGCATCTGTTCCCCGCTAGAATACGTCGATAATGTGAAATATTTGGGAGTTTTTTTAGATTCAGACATGTCTTGGAATTCGCATCTGTCACAAGTTTGTTGAAAACTTCGGAGCGTCAGCTGTTTACTTTTCAACCACAAAGTGTTCATACCTTTTTCAGTTAGGAAATCTATCGCGTACGCGCTTGGCTACAGTGTACTGAGGTATGGCATTACTTTGTTCGGTAACTGCGCTGAGCTTTGGCAAATAAAAATTGATCGAATTTTGAGGAGCTTGTTAAAGAGTGTTATGTATCCTTTGGAAGTTCCGTCTGATGTGAACATTTTCGAGTCTTTACGAATACCGAGTTTCTCTTCTTTGTTTATGCAGACTGTTGTGCTTCGCCATTTTTGGAATAATGAATTCAAATGCACTCATGTTGCCCGAAGAAACCTTCGTTGCACGTCTCGATTCGAGGTCCCACGTTGTGTTACGCGATATGGAAAACGAGTTCGCTCCTATTATGTGCCGTTTACCTTTAATAAATTACCTGATGATGTCTACAAGGCCGATTCCATTCGGAAATTTAAAAAGAATGCTGTCAGATTTGAGATGGTAGGATGATGTTTTTATTGTTTTCGAATTGTTTTCCTTGGTGCTGTAGTACTGTTAACATTACTGTGTATTTGTCGTTCGACTAGCCGGGTCCTGTCCCACAAGCCTCCTTTGGCTTGGATAGACCCATTTATGTGCAGTGTTCTTTTTATATGTGCAATAAAATGTATTATTATTATTATTATTATGCTCCAATATGCGGATGACACAGTGTTGCTTTCAAGACATCTTGATTATCCTGTAGCAATCGCATTACTCCAAAAGGACACTTGTCAACTTAATGACTGGTTTAAGACAAATTGTCTTACGATAAATGCATCTAAAACTCAGCTTGTCTGCTTTCGTAATCCTCTTAAGATGTTAACCCCCAATCATCCTATTTATATGCATACCTCTCTTTGTACATCTTGTAACTGTTGTCCCATATCTTATGTAGATCAAGTTAAATATTTAGGAATTCAATTCGAAAGTGATTTGTCGTGGAATTCTCATCTGTCAAAACTTTGTAAACGACTGAGAAATGTAGCTTGTTTACTGTACAATACCAGATCTTTAATACCTTATTCAACGAAAAAGACAATAGCTCACGCTTTGGCATACAGTGTTTTGCGTTACGGAATAACTATTTTTGGTCACAGCCCAGGACGATGGGGTCAAAAAATAGACTGTCTTAAAAGGAATATTTAAAAGCACTGTTTATGGTTCCATATCGCAAACTGAAGAAGAGATCATAGCAGTCTTGAGCTTGCCATTGTTCCACACCTTATTGATTCAGACCGTTATATTGAAACACTTTTGGTGCGATAATTTCAGAGTACCTCATGTCGTATCTAGATCACTTCGACATACCGAGCGCTATGAAATGCCTTTTGTTGTGACAAACCACGGAAAAAGAATTAGGAATTTTTATGTTCCCTATATATTTAATAGCCTACCGGACGATGTTTACACTGTGGACTCACTAAACAAACTGAAGCAAATGCTCCGATCTAAAAGTGCAAGTTTTTAACTGTGCTGTGTATGTGCATGTGTTTGTGTGACCATCATCGTTTATATTGTGATGTATGTTGAGTTTGGAAGTTTACGTGTGTGGGGACGCTTTTTTATCACAAACTGTAGGGTCCTGTCCAACAAGCCTTTTGTCTGGCTTTGACAGACCCGCCTCACTATGAAGTGAACTACACGCGTAAATAAACATTATTATTATTATTATTATACACTAGAAGCAGCGCACCGCCACTGTAACCACACCGCTATTTAAAACTTTAACGGCGAGCACTTAGTCACCTTTTCTGTTTCTCATTTCGACCGCCACGCCGCGCCAGTTTTCGCTGCGTATACTTGGATGGGACGCATCTCCCCGCTTCACTCCCTCACGCCTTTCCTACTAGGTGGCGTCGCCTCTTCTGGAGTTGCGTACGAAGGGCAGATACGAGCTGCGAGGAGGTGGCGAAAGCTTTGATCGTCTGCGAACGCCTCCGCCTTTCCGCCTGCTTTCCTGCTCGCCCCGTGAAAACGCAGCGCATGCGCATTCGCGACCAATCTCCGCAGAAGGCGTCCACCATCAAATTGCAAACGCTTCCCCGTGGTTCGGGACGGACACTCGAGTCGCGTAGAGAGCCCTCGACGAGGAACGCAATGCCGTACTACGACCCAATCGGAAACGTTGCTGGAGTTCATTTTTGTCGAATCCGTTCACGCGTGGGTTGAGCCAGGGCCGCTAAATGAGCTATGCTCCACAGCGACAACGCGTCGGACACCTGGATAGATGCTAATGGCTGTACCCTTTATAAGGGGCGGTAGCTTGCGCCACCTGACCTAAAAAAGCAACAACACAAACCTGATTTCCCATTTCCTCTTTCCAAGCCGACGCGTTTCTGTAACTATATCACCGGGCCACGAAGGCGATCACCAGGCAGACCTTCGGCGTCTGCCTAGCGATCTTGTTGCTTAAAAATCATTGTTGCCAGCTATCTGAAGCTTTACCTGAAATCGCAGGGAACGCCTTTCAACTCTCCGAGACTGTTAAAACAGTTCGGGACACAGTAAAACGATATTGCCCGAGCTTTCTGACACGTATTTTTGAATCCTAACCATTGTTAATGGTGCCCGCCCTGCAGCAGCAGGCTGGCACCTTCCACAGGGACTTATAGAATGGAGCGGAGATCCTCTATGCGTAGCTTGGCTCTAGATTGAGTTATGAAGCTACCTCGGAGCACATGCGGACGTCTCACCAACTCTCTCTACCGCGCATATATGCTACACCGCTCGTCCTTGCGGTCTCGTCAATCCCGACAACGTCGTCCCGTATGCCATTATGGCGGCTCTAGATCAGTATGTATATCGATTGTCGGTTTTAAGATATGGAATACGTGCGCTAAAATAACTCTGGCCAAAAACTAAAGTCTAGAAAAATATAGCACAAAAAAATACGCGGGGGAGTTACTGAATAAAATGTTCAAAGGCGCGAACAAAATGGGGAAAATGAAGAAACCAGGACGGCAGGATAGGCGATTCTTTGCTTTGTGTGATTTATGCACAATAAATTACATTTGTGGTTTATTGTTGTGCATAAATGACAAATGTGTTTTTAATTACCACGTTTGCTATTTTAGTGCGGTGAATACCTTAATTTTTTAGGAAACTTGGTTACTATCATACATATGCTCCAGCCTTTAGTTAGTTGGACTACAGGTGTTCTCAGAGCTGAATTAAATCTTGTTTATCTATTGTTCCGTTTTTAATGGGTTTTTGTTACGCATGCAAGCGCGTGCTATACTAGAGAGAACTTACCTCCCTAAAGACGAGAGCTTGGAGCACTTCGCTCCAAATTAACCAGCGGAATCCCCCCCCCCCCCCCCCCCCCCCTCCTCCCCCTACCCCAACTGCTTCTGTGCGATTGAAAATGCCTTACTTTACGATGACGATATGAAATTGTTTCGAAAACCATATTCACCGACACTTTAAGAGAGTCGGGGCGTACGCGTATTATGTTCACGCTTTTTGCTTCGTCATTCGTCCTCCGACGTCGTTATTCCCAAACACCGCAATCCCATTGGCTGTGGAACAATAATGAGATGATCGCGACTCGACACGCCCAGCATTTCTTAAAATTAAGCTTTGAGCAGCCGCGGAATAAAAACAAGGCTATTAACGTGAAACGTTCTTTAGCTCGGTGTTCCGCATTTCGTGAAGCCTGTATAAAAGCGTGGCCGCGAGGCTCGACACCGATTGGTTGACGTGTGGGAGAGGAGGAGCGAGAGATACGGAAGGCTCTGGCAGATCGCCGGGTTTATCGGCCCGAGTATGGGTATAGTATCGCTTCGTTCTAGGAACAACTATCGAGTGTACACACACGGTGCGCGTTAAACTATCCGGTGAAAAGCGCCTTGAACGTATATGCGTCCCGAAACTCGGAGTATACCGCCAAACGTTTCCGATGCTAGACCGTTTCCCGAACGCAACACAATTGTCTAGCAATTTGCCATATACTTTTGTTTTTACCTCAGGATAGACCCCATCGATTTGGAGCAGGTGCAAATTGCACGCTCAGTTGAGTTTCAATAACATTAATGTGCGATCATGGAGGAGATGGCGGGGACGGCGACCAACGGTTTCAACGGGCGGCGCTGACATCACACCGCCATGGCGGGGCTGCTGTCAGCACAGCGCATGCGCAGAAGCTTCACGCGAGTCTGCTTTCTGCGCAGGCGCATAGTACGGGCCAACTTGTTTGCAAAGAGCGCGTGGGCGCCCGTTGGTGGCTGACCCTGAAGTCCATGCCGACGGTGGATATGTAGGCCCCGCTCAGGAACGCTCCGTCCTTGTAGCGGATCAACACGCACGTCTTGCCCACGCCGGAGTCTCCCACCAGCATGAGCTGCGCCATGGAAAGAAAGGAAAAAAAAAGAGAACGGGTTAAAGAGAACGGCCGCAAAGGTGACTGATCACTTGCACAAACAGTGTTTGAATATACATTTAAGTTACACCGCAACATTGTAGTGTATAGTATCATAGGAATCATCGTCCCGACGATTCACACGGTATACGGTTTATACGTACATACACACATACGTATGCCGATTGCACAATAAACGAGCATTTAAATTACCCAAGCCCGGGAGAGCACCTGTGTGCTTGTGGGCGGGGCACTGTTGCAATGAAGAGAAATACTGCTATTACTCTAACACGAAACAAAGTACCGGCATCCTCCCTACCTAAAAAAGAAAAAAAAAAAACTGGTTTTAAATATAGAAAAGTTACAGTTCAGACCAGTCACGAACAATATCATAGAATGGTAACCAGTGCCGCCGGAACAGGGGCGGCAAAGGGGGGGGGGGGGGGGGGGGGGGGGAGGGAGAAGACATTTCAGACATTTTGACTTAACAATTCCCGCTGTCGCCCCCCCCCCCCCCCCCCCCCCCCTCATCTCCAGAATATTTTCGACGCCACTTATATTCATTATTGCCAGTCATCTATAATTTACTGTGCGTCAACAAATAAATCGCGTAATAGTCGTAAGAAATATTAAATAATTGTCACCATTATGTATCATTCCTCATTCAGTAAGTGTGCTTGAGAGACATGCAGTTATATGGCGTGACCACCACCAAAAGTGCCTTTAGAAGTTCAACGGCATCATTATTATGAGAACTAAGTTGCAGTGTTACATGGTTACACCTAAAAGTAGTTATGCGCAATATCGCAGAAACGCCTACATCATCAATATAATATTTCGCTTAGACATCATCAATATAATATTTCGCTTAGAAGCGGTACAAATGGCAGCCACATCATAGATTAGACGTAAACAATATTGTAGACCCATCATCACCCCAGTTGTAAACAACATCATCTGCATATTTTAACTCGGCTTCCGATCTTCTTCTGCTCTAGCTTTTATCTTTTAGTTATTATATTCACTTATTTCGAACATACTGCCTGTAGTGAGGCCAAAGCAGGTGGATAGGCATGTTAAAGAACAAGGGCGCCCTCAAGTATTCGAAATATAATTTAAAAATACAGATACATTTGCATTCTCGTCTGTTTCGCGGTATGCGCGATTTCACGCTGCAAACCCTGGCGTACGATCGAAAAAAAAAATGGAAAGAAAACGTTGTGGTCCCTTTTATGCAGTACAGGTCTGTGGCAAATGTCTGCGAACACCAAAAGGATCCAGGCAAATGACGAAGCGGGAAATGTACAATTAGAAAAAAAAAAAAAAAAGCGAAATTCACTCCGACATTGCGCACAACGTTTCACTTGCTTATTATATCCTCATGCACACCTATTCAGAGCCTTATAAGGGGCGGAAGCACCTTAGGGTCTATCTTCGTCCGTCCGTGCTCACATAAAAAGAAAACATGTTTGCGCATTCGACAGGATTCGAACCTGTGCGGGGAGACCCCAATGGATTTCTAGTCCATCGCCTTAACCACTCGGCCACGACTGCGGGACGAGTAGGGGGCTCTGAGATGAGCTAGTAACTCAAGAGCTGGGGTTTCTGTCATGGATGAAACGTTGCATGTAGCCGCTCAACGTCCATACGGGAGAGGGCGCTGCGGTCAAATGCGTATAGAATCACGTTAAACTTTGCATGCATTGGCTCAACGTTCATAGACGAGAGGGCGCTGCGGTCAAATGCTCAAATGCGCATATAACCACGTTCCATTCTCTTTCTGACATGGACCGTTGAGTTAAGCGGTGGAGAGGCGTTCCCACGGCTTCTAGCGGATCCAAGCTGATCCGCTAGGAGAACCACTGGCTCTGCATTTCACCGACCATAAAGCAGTAATAATAAAGTCGAAACGCAACCCCGAACTCAGCACTACCTATGAGCAATAAAAAAAAATCAGCACCATCAGCACTACCTATGAACAATAAAATCAGTATCATCAGCACTACCAGAGCTTCGCCCCAATCAACATCGTTCACCACGTGGACATGCGGTCATTCTTTTTTTTTTTTGGCTGAGATCCTTCTGTTATTCACAATCACTGAGTGCCCGTGTATTCGGTAGGGATATTTTTTCTTTTTTTTTTTTTTTAACGCAGTTCGTCTGCGCATTTAATAATAATAATAATAATGTTTATTTTCCGTCAAAACACAAATGACGGAGGGAGACCGAGGAAAAAAGCTCCATCATGCAGCTTGACGGGCCCTCGGCCCCCCCTCCTTACACATAGCAGCAGTGGCACAAGTAATCCAAAAAGAAAACCAAGAGAAAAGTTAACAATTTCAGAGATAAGAACAGGACAATACTACAAAAAAGGTGCGACTATATAAGAGGCAAACAAAATCAAAGCACATGCAAGCACAGCAATTATTCAATTCAGCAAAAATTTAGGTTATGAAACATGACAACAGGTACTAGTCGTCATTATCGCCATCATTGTAGTCGCACAGTATTATAGTGTAAGATTCCGAATAAGCGCTCACGCGCGCTAGAAAGATGGGGAAACCAATAGCTTCAAATGGCCAATCTCTTTCTTACGGTATAATGCTTGTCATTTACTTATGTCTACAAAAACAACTAGAGATATACAGCTTTCTAGCGCTTATCACCCAGGCGAAAAATGCCGATTCATTGGGCCGTGAATGCACGCGCGCCGTCTGACATTGCGCAAAAGATTTGCTCGGAAGAATGCGTTCTACAGCCCAGAAGACAAAGATGGAAGCGCAGTGAAGAAGGCGATTATGAGATTGATCTATAAGGAAGGCAATTAAAATACTTTACTCATAACGAAACGCAGTGGGGTATACAGTCAAGGCTATCGGCGCGCCGGTGCAGTAGCGGCTGTTTCGTTGCGGAGGGCTTAGCGGAGGGGTAAACGCGCGTCTACGAAAACTCCCTAATTTTTCCGTTAAATTTAGTGGGGAAATTTTTCGGCTAAATTTAGCGGATAAATTTTTCTGCTAAATTTAGCGGAGAAATTTTTTTCGCTACATTTAGCCGGAAAAATTTTCCGCTATCTTTATATAAATATAAATAAACTATAAATAGACGAAAGGTTCAAACATGAAATAAAGTTATTATTACGGAGGTAAGAGTTATAGAAACAATACACAAATACTACGTCATTGCAACGTACTAATAGGCCTCAAAAAACGGCAATAAAGCTCCTATAGTGACAAATACAGCAAAAAAAAGAAAACATGGACTGCACTGACGAGAAACTGGAGGTCATGAACGGCGGCAGGGTCACGTGATAGCAAGGTGGCAGCGCCCACCAAATGCTGGTGTAAAGCGTCCATAGGGCGAGCAAGTGTTTCAAACTGCGTCTCTGGCGCATCCAAACGCAAGGGCGCCGATGTACAACATAGATAACACAGAGGGAACGCACGACGACGAGGCAGCCCCGAGAGCGACATCATTGGTTGAGGTCGGGGGGAAACAAAGGCACGTGGACGCACTTGCGGGAGGGGGGAGGGGGGAGAGAACAAACGCACGCGGCGCGCAAGCAGCTGACAAACTTGCTCGCCGTATAGACCGTTCCATTAGGGTCATAGCAGAGAGGGTAAAAGAGGAAAAAATGCACTCCCCCTCTCACCCCGCATTTCGTCTGCGCCGCCGAGTGGGCTGTAGCTACGTCCAGCTGGCGTGCAAACTCTGCTTAAAATCGCGTAATTTTGGAAGTTTCAAGCGCAGATGCACAGATTTTGGTATGCCAGTTGTCGCGTAATGCTATGCTAGATAATAAAAAGACACACAGGGTCCAATTGCGCTCTTACTTGCGTGCAAATAAAAAAAAATGGGGAAAACTGTGTCAGACTGGCCGGTCTCTCCGGCGAAAAGTAAATCCGGTGGCTGCACCTTTTTTACTAGACAAAGTTTGTACTGATGTAGCCTTTAGCGACCATGAGTGGAAGTCTGAAATAATAAATAAAACGTGCTCTCCTGCCGCATTACGCGCAGTAGTTGAGGGTAGTACTGCCGGCTGACTCAACTGCTATCTAAGTAACGGAAAAAGGATATGCTATACTCCGTTTCACCTTCCGTCCGAGCACAGCGGACGCTAGGAGCCATCCCAGCCAATGCGGCGTTGAGGGAGTGTCATGCGACCTTGAGCTCCCTGCGTCGCCCCGCCTTACCGGCAGGTCACGCGACTTTCTCCCGGCGCTGGATCGGCTGGGATGGCTCGTGGCGTCCACTGCGCTCGGACGGAAGGTGGAACGGAGTATAGTTGATCATTTAGCGAAATAGAACAACAGAGAACTATAGGCTGATTTTGGAGTAGCTACAACTATTCTAAGAACGCGAACCACTTCAGAACGGCAGCCACGAGCGAGAGTTCGATGTTCGGCAGAGGCCGCCGATACAGCCCAAAGATGGAGAACGGCAACCTCCCGGTTTGTCGTCTGCTAGCGGAGTCTGGCGCGTGCCCTCTCTCTCGTTTTACCCCGCCGAACCCGCTGAACTTCCCGGATGTGTGGAGAGGGCGCTGCTGTCGAACAAAATGGTGCCGCCCAGAGAGCGCTAGATGAAAATGGTCCATAGACCTTTTCTGTGTACTCTCGTCCCCAGCGACCTAATAGGCGTATCCGATATGGGCGAAAAAAAATAATCCAACGCTTCAACCTGCAAATAGTAAAAAAATAAAGGGGAGGCAAAACGAGAAAGTGTGACGGTTACGCTCATATCCTAAATGCCTTCTATTGGCGTGGCAGAGGCAAAACAATGTTTTCGCCCATACAGGAAGTGACGTCAATTCAAGATGGCGGCGCACTTACAGAAAACGCTCCCTTTTTTTCTTTTTTTTCTATTTTTTTTTTTGTGGCTGTCGAAATGACATATGTTTGGCATAGAAAGTTGGCGTCAAATCTGGCAGAGCAGTTTCTTTCAACTTTCAAGTTTATCGTTTCTCTCCAGGGGTGAGGGGG